TTACGATATTAAATCGTATATATCTTTATATTGTTCGATGATTTTAAGATTCATCATTCTTTTACTTTAACTGTGAAATGTGTTAAGATATATATAAATGTATTTATTATTATATTTTAGGTAAGTATATATTTAGTTTATAATTAATTTTTTAAATATATGTATCATATTATTAATTATCAAACTAATCTTATAAATTATATTTATTTTAAGTTAATGAATGAGATCAATAGAAAAAAATATATTTTTAAACTTTAATATTTTCTATGACCCTTATAAGTAGATTAATCTACCATTAGTAAAAAATTTAATCATATGGTTTAAATTTTATTAAGAAACTCAATTTTTATAACCAAGAGATTCATATCTAGATCATCAAACTAATCACTTATTAATATAATTTAAAAAAATCATAATGTGGTCACGCTTCCCAAATAATAATAATAAAAATAATATTTAAATAAAATTATTTTTAAATATAAATAAAATTAATTATTATATTTTTTATCTTTTCTAGGAACAATAATGATTATAATAATTTTTATTTTTTCTCGTAATTTTTATATATCTTTTCTCTCTCGTATTTTTATTTTTTTCTGCTCCACATTTTCACTTATTTCACTTTATATTTTATATTTTATATTTTATATTTACATATTTTTCTCCTTTTTTTCCGTAGTATTTTTTTTATTCCACTTACTCATTTTTTTTCTTTAATTTCAAAGTTTTTTCTTTCTTATTTTCATATTTATATTTTTCTTCTCTATCATTCTTCCATTTTTATATATTTTTTTCTTTCATGATCTCTTATGTAAAAAATATTGTAAGTTTTTTATTTATTTGTTCACATTTTGCTCTAAAGTTTTACAAGTGATTTTTTTCTTTAATTTTTTTATCTTCTATTCACAATGGAAACATGAAAATATTAGAAACTAAAAAATAAAAGTTAAAAATATAAAGGTAGCATTCTACATATTTTTTAGACGAAAAATCAAATAAATATTTTTATTATTATTTTTGTTTACTATTATAACATTGTGTTATATTATATGTTTTAATATTTTATAATATTCTATTTTGATGTTAAAAAAAAACTTTGAAAATATTTAAGAAAAAAATTATAAAGTTATTTTTCAAGTGAAAAAAAAAGAATAAATTTTAACTTACTAAATTTAAATTTAATTAATAATATTAAAAATATTTTTATATAAGACTAAAGTAAATTTAATAATTAATAAATTTTATAATATGAAATATTATCAAACATAATTTAAATATATTTAATTTCATATATATTTAATATTAAATATGATCAATGATTTATAATTTTATATAATATATTTATTTTTGTACCATATATATTAATGTTTTATCTCATTTAAAATTTCTTGCCTCATGATGAATTTGATTATATATTTTATCATTTTTAATTTCCACTTAGAGAAAGAGAAACACATTATTGATGAGATGTGGGAAGTAAATCTGAAGAGATCTTATTTATTTATATTTTAATCAAAAGCTGCTTCTTTCGGTCAAAAACATAATCACTAAATTCTAATCCAAAGTCATTTAAACTTGCTAAAGTTTGGGACACTAACCCTACACACTCAAATTTATTCTTTCTAAAATTAGTTATCAACATTAAAAAAAAGTTAAAAGTTAATTAAAATAAACTTTTATTAAATTTTTGAAGTTATTTTTTCTAAAGTTATAACATTTGATTCAGATTTTATATAAAAATAAAATCCAAGTATACAATTGATTATATATTTTATAATTAATTATTTATTAATAAATACAAACAAACAAATATAATATTATTTTATGAATTAATTATAATTTATTTACAATATATATTTATTTCTCAAAACATATATACTAACAAAATTATAATATATCTATTTGACAAAGATTAAATAGTTGAATGAAATAAAGAAAGGCTAATGATTAGATAAATGAACGGAATAAACAAATTGCATTTTCTATCAAGTGATGATTATTTTTGGATGGTGGTTTGTGGTGTCTTCATTCAATGTGCTCATCATTGTCAAAGAGAAAGACAATGAGTGTCGTTGGTGAGGAGAGGACAAAGAAAACATGACTATTAACACTCTTTTATTTAATATATATCTTTGTATTCTTTATATTGTTCCTAAACATTGAAAAATGATTTAGAACTCTGAACCTAAGATTAAACAATTTTGATTTTCTGTATCAAGTCTAAGTCTTTTTGAGCAGTTAAACTTAATACGAACTATTTGTAGAATGAGTTAAGAGATTAAGTTATTTTATTGATAATTTAGAACTATATTTTAAGGGATTAAACTGAAATAAATACAGTACAGTGGCAGAAACGATAACTCTAATTTATTAGAATAAAACAAAGTGTTAACCGAATCCAACCCCATGATATATAAATACTTAAGTTCCACATATTTTATTTGCTTGTTTACTTGATTTGTTATCTTTAAAATTGAAACTTAAAATTAATTTTCTTTTATCATTTGTTTATATACAGTAAACAGTACGAATGGTAAAAAAAGCTACTTCATCGATAAATTTTGTTATATGTATTTTAATATATCTTTAATTATATAAATAATTTTTCAGTTTTTATTTATTAATTAATATTTTTGTTAGATAAATTAAAATAATTATTATATTTATGTGTTAAAATAATTAATTATAATTAATAATTTAAACTTAATTAATTTTTATAATTTAAATTATAATATTATAATATATTTACATATTTCACTAATATAACATAAAAAATATAATATTTTTAATTATAATTTTTTATTTTAATTTTAATATATAAATGTTTTTTTAAAATAGATTAACCCATCTCGCAGTTAACCGACTAAGTTGACAGGTTAGGCAGGACGAGCAAAAACACGTTAGCAGACTTAAATTACCAACCCACCCCATCATTTTTTAGGCAAGTTGGAGGATCGGTCTGCTAGACCTAACGTTTTGTCATCCCTTCGTGCATTGCTTAAACAAACACAAATCTATACCTGAACTTACCATAATTACTACTTGCACAATTTAATACACTTGTCAAAGAGTTAACACCACCCTTTCCTCTTAGGTTGATAGGTTAGGCAAAATGGTCCAAAATATGTTAATGAGCTAAAATTGTCAACCTGCCTCGTCAATTTTGAGACGAGTTGGCAAACGACCCGTTGAACCTAACCGATTTTTTCATCCATAGCTAAAAACATTAATTATGATAACATAATTAGGAATGACAAAATAGGTTAAACTTAACAAGTGAATCCTCCCATCTATCTCAATTTAATAGGACAAATTGGTAGTTTTAATTATCAACCCACCTTAACTCATCTTACCTAACCCACCAATCTAGAAAATTAAGATGAACTGAACACATTGTCAACTGACCCACCTTTCTAAAAATATTTCAAGATTAATATTAAAATAAAAATAATTAAGATTTAAAGTATTATAAGGTAAAATATGTTTTTATAAATAACTATTACAAACTGTTACAAACATTTGTGTTTATATTTTGTTTGATTTTCATACAATATCAACTATTTTGTTCAGTTTTTAATCATCACTGTTAAAGATAAAGTTAGTTTTATGTCAAAGTTAGTTTTATGTCAAGTAAACCTAAATAATGTGTATTTTGATGTTTGTTTGATATTGTAAGGGAGATTCATTAAGGAGAAATAACACCAATAAGACATGAAGACAACCTACATAAGAGATTGACATCACCTTCAACAAAAAATCTTAAGGATCATGAGTTTTTCTTCTTTATATGTTATTTAACTTTCTCATTCTTACTAAAAGTGAAACTTAACTCACACTTTGGATTACCTAACAATATTATAATCAATTGTTTACACGTCCACTTCTTGATGACACTTAACTATACATATCATTTAATGATTCATGTGACATAAAACTAACAATTTCTTTAACACGATGCTTAAAAACTTTATAGAGTAATTATCAATATACAAAAATCATACAAATTTTTTTTATTATAATATAAATAATTGACAAAATTATTGATGAAAAACATATTTTATTCAATATTATAATTTTTTGTTATATTATTAAAATATATAAATATACTATAATATTATAATTTAAATTATAAATACTATGAAGTTAAACTTAAATTATTGATTTTAATTGAGTATTTTAAATTGTAAAATATAATGATTTCACAATTCATCCAATAGAAGTTATTAATTAATAAATAAAAACTTAAAAAATATTTTTTTTAATATATATATATATATATATATATATATATATATATATATATATATATATATAATTGACTAATTCAACACATATATCAAACCATAATCTACAACTCATTCTAAGTCAACTTATCCTACCTCATTTTAATCTATAACAATTGAATTCTCAATTTGTTAATCTAAAATATAAATTAAATCATGAATTAAAAAAATTCTAAAAAAATCGACTAAAAAATAATTTTAAATAAATTTCTTTTATTTTATCAATTTAGGTTTTATTTTCGAGAATGAATTCAAGTTAGAATGATCCTCATAAAAAATCCCTCATTCCAAACATTAGAGCATCTTGAATATGTGTTGCTTATTGAAATGCTCAAGAAATAATAATTATTTGAAACAACTTTCCACCAGAAGAATATGATATGACATAATAAATTGTTTAATTTTTTATTTTTTTTAGTTATTTCATTAAGTAACTTATAAAAATAAACAAAATAAAATAAAAAAGAAGAGAATATAAAAGAGAATGAATTTTTTAAAATTTATCAAGAAAACTTCTAATAAAATAAAATATGTTTAAAAATAATATATCATTATAAATCTCTACTTTACAATTTTTTTTTAAAATAAAAACCAACTCATGTAAATGGTTCGTATTGGAGATACCCTTATAAGCAAGAAACATACACCTCCCCTTCCCAGAACAAATTCCAGGGGCAGAGTGCAGAGAACTAGATTAAAACTTTACGGAAAATTGAAATGGCCCTAGTGAGTAGTACACACAATCTTGCTAAAAGCAGTAATATTTTTGGTCATTCTTCCAACCCCCACAAATCCAAATTGATTTTATTGAGGCCACGCCTTTGGGGAGCCTCAAAATCTGGGAGCCTGATGCATAAAAATGAAAGCTGTATGGGAAATTGTTATAATGTGGGTAGGGGAAATTCCAGTGTGTTTAAGGTACCTGCCTCTGTTGCCGCCGTGGAGAAGTCTTCATCAGCATTGGAGATTGTGTTGGAACCCATAAAAGAAATCTCTGGTACCATTACATTGCCAGGGTCCAAGTCTCTGTCCAATCGAATTTTGCTTCTTGCTGCTCTCTCTGAGGTGAGGCTTACTTTTTTATAATTTATAACGATAAAAATTCTCAATAATAATAAAAATTAATAACATTTATAACTAGGAATCATAGTGAAAATCAACAAAAGTCAAATACAACCCAGTTGGAATTTCCAGTCATCATGGTTGAGAAGCATGGTTGTGGTTCTGGGAAACAAGACGTTGAATTTGGAGACTCAAGGGTGTCATTGGTGTTAAAATGTGGGAACGTAAATCAACTTTTTGTTTTGACACTTGCCTAATAAATTTTTCTTATTTCATTTTTTTCTTAAATGTTATAAAAATGAAGAAATGATCTTTTAAGCTTATTATGTAAAATTTAAATTAAATCAAACCTAGATCCTATTACATCTTAGTTGAAGCTACCATTTTTCACACATAGATTCTGGGATCTAATCGTCAAACCAAACACCTACTTGATGGACTTTGAAAGAGTTGAATTCCCCCATAGGGACTAAGTAAGAGAAAGAGAGTAATACTTTGAGGACCAAACTGATAGTTTACTCCAACTTTTAATTACTCATTAGAGGTCTTGTTGGGCATAAATTAATAATTATTCTGTTTTATCCAGGGAACAACTGTTGTAGACAACTTGTTGTATTGTGAGGATATTCAGTACATGCTTGGTGCATTGAGGACCCTTGGATTGCATGTGGAAGATGACAAAACAGCCAAGCAAGCAATTGTGGAAGGTTGTGGTGGATTGTTTCCCATTGCTAGAGGATCTAAAGGTGAAGTCAATTTCTTCCTTGGAAATGCTGGGACTGCAACGCGTACTTTGACAGCAGCCGTGGTTGCTGCAGGTGGAAATGCAAGGTCTGTTTTTCATTTTGTTTATTCATCATGACCTTTGAACTATTCCACATATAACTAATCACAATTAAGTGTGTGTTCTTCCTCCATTCTTTTCTAATCTAAAAATCTCATGCAGATTAGTCATTATTTAATGTTTAAATTAGCTTTTCAAAGTCTACCATATATATATATATATATATATATATATATATATATATATATATATATATTGATTATTTTCTGAGGAATGCACCTGAGGTCATACTCATAGCCTATCTTAATCTCACCACTTTCTTCTGTTATAATTAGATATTCAATCTTGGTACTGGTTTGTGTCTCCAAATATACCATCTTGATGTTCATAATATTTCAGTTTCGTATTTGATGGATTGCCCCGAATGAGAGAGAGGCCAATTGGCAATTTGGTTTCTGGTCTTAAGCAGCTTGGTGCCGATGTTGATTGCTTTCTTGGCACAAACTGTCCACCTGTTCGTGTAAATGGGAAGGGAGGACTTTCTGGTGGTAAGGTACGGTTCAGGTTTCCTTTAGAATAAGGAGGACTAACCTAGCAAAACTCTAATTTAAGGTATAGAAAGTTAAAGAAAATAAGTGAACAAAAAGGAGTAAAAGATGTGATTATTATGTAGGTTATTTAATAGGAGAGAAAGTAAAAGGATAGAAAGTTATGATTTTTCTTTCCACTTAGTTTTTTATTTAATAGGAGAAGCATAATTTTCACTTTTCCTTCCCTTCTTTCCTCTGCTTTTCACTTCTAAACTAAACTTTCTTTTAGTTATGTCTTCCCCTTATTCTATCCAAAGGAAAGTTTATGGCTTCCCCTTCAGAAAACGCTAAGCTTTTTCTCCATTGTTGATCTCACATGTAGGTGAAAATCCCTGGATCAGTTACCAGTCAATATTTGACTGCTTTGCTTATGGCAGCTCCTTTAGCTCATGGCAATGTGGAAATTGAGATTACTAATAAACTGATTTCTGCTCCATTCGTTGATATGACTGTGAAGATGATGGAGCGCTTTGGGGTTTCTGTGGAACATAGTGGTAATTTAGATAGGTTCTTGGTCCATGGAAATCAAAAGTACAAGTAGGTTTCTATGTTTTAGTATTGCACCTTTTAGCACTCAAAATGCAATGAAATAAAAAACTCATGTTTCCTACCAGGTCTCCTGGCAATGCTTTTGTTGAAGGTGATGCTTCAAGTGCCAGTTACTTCCTAGCTGGTGCAGCAATTACAGGTGGGACTATCACGGTTAAAGGCTGTGGCAAAAACAGTTTACAGGTATTCATGCTTTGACACTGTATTCTGCCACCTTCTATTTTACGGCTTATACTATATCATCCCTAGTTCAACACCCTTTGTTTATCGTCCCTCACTACCAAAAAATAGAGCTTATCATTGTATTCTCAATAGCTCTTGGATGTTCGATTCATCTCTTGAGCAGATTCTTCCCTCACTATGCTTTTCAGCAAACTTTCCCTCTCTCGTTAATATTATGCTATGCAATTACTTGCTAAAGCTGTTAAACAGTTTCTGGCGTTTCAGAACCGCCAGAAATTGACTCTATCTTAATCTATTACTTTCCCAAATAATTTACCCCAATTCAGTGAACTGAAAAACCCATACCAAAACATCGACGAATCAACATCAAATATTCATTAAAAAAAAAAACTAATTATTCATAACTCGATCACGAATTAACAAATCTTTTAGCAACTCAACATGTTTTCAAATTAGCAATAGTAAATCAACAAATTATCATAATCTCAAAACAAATTTCAACAACTTATCTCCGGCCGTGCCTAAAGTCATTCTCGCCTTAGGTTTTCCAAAACCTCATGCTATGCAATCTCTACAAATCCTATACCGATGATGGTAAAAGATTATTAATATACAGTCCTCACAAGCATAATCATCGTCCGAGCCAAAATCCAATAACGGAAGCCGGAGCCGATTGCCGCCGTTGTCATCTTCAATGATCCTTATTTTCCCGGGTCGATGATTCAGCGACATCTGAAGCCTAACCCAAGCATTTACTGGCGGCTTTATCCTAGTAAAAATGAAACCATTAAATAACCGAAGAATAAATATCTTGATGATAGCGTAAGACACTTCTAAAATAACCACACAAACTAACCAAAAATTTATTTAAGTTGAAATTGTAGAAAAATATTATCAATGTACGAAATTAATTTTTATTAAATCACGTTCAAAATTATCTGTTCATTAACAAAAAAATAAATATTTGTAATATTTAACAAGGTAAAGAAGAAAACTAAATATAAAATTGTATCAAAATGATCAAATACCTTATAAAAACTACCAATAATTTTTCTAAAATTTACCTTAAAATAACCAAGGGATGAAAAAATTATGGGTAAAAGCACCAAATCCGTGAAATTTGTTTTTAAAATATATATAAAAAAGTAATGTTTAACTCTTCATAAAAAACGAAAATAAAAAAGTTGAAACAGTAAAAAAAAAAGAAATAAAATCTGGTGTTTTTTTTTTTTTGACGAAAATTATATATACAAAATACGATAAAACTCATGAATAGCATTCATCAATGGAGTGTAGAAGATTTTTGAGCAGGTTCAATGTAAATTTTTAAAAACATCTTTGTTTTGAAGAGTACTCTTACTTGATTAATTATCAAATTGATCATTTTGCTATACAAATTTACAAGTTATTTGGTTAGTTTGATGGTGTGATCAATTACTCATTATATATACTTGTGCTTATAATGTTTGGCTCTGTCCTATTTTTAAAGGGAGATGTGAGATTTGCTGAAGTTCTTGAAAAGATGGGAGCTAAAGTTTCATGGACAGGGAACAGTGTTACTGTTACTGGACCTCCACCAGATTCTTCTGGTGAAAAAGTGTTGAAAGGCATTGATATCAATATGAATGAGATACCAGATGTTGCCATGACACTTGCTCTTGTTGCACTGTTTGCTAAAGGTCCCACTGCTATAAGAGATGGTATGTCCAAAGCTACTTGTAATGCAGTTCATGTGATTAGATTTCCTATGTAAACTTGTTTGCCGATGAGACACCCTTTTGTTCTTGTTTTCAGTGGAATGTTGGAGATATAAAGAGACAGAGAGGATGATAGCAATGTGCACAGAACTCAGAAAGGTGGATGTGTCTTTGTTATTCCTTTGTTATATATGTCTTATATATATTGACCTAGTGTATTGGCATTTCAGCTAGGAGCAACAGTTGAAGAAGGTCTTGATTATTGTGTGATTACTCCTCCAGAGAAATTGAATGCTACAGCTATAGACACATATGGTGACCACAGAATGGCCATGACATTCTCTCTTGCTGCTTGTGGGGATGTTCCAGTCACCATCAAGGATCCTGGTTGCACCAGCAAGTCATTTCCTGACTACTTTCAAGTTCTTAAGAGGCTCTCTAAGAACTAAGCTGATATGCTCGTACAAGCACCAAACCTTGCAAAATTTGTCACAAGGATTTTATAACTGATATGGTAATTTATTTTACTGTCTCTTCTATTTGTAATATAATAATAATAGTAATAATAATAAAAAGATAATTTTAACACGAATCGAAACAATGGAGGACACTTTAAGTAGGAGGAGTAAATAATAATGAAGTTTATTAATTGGTCTAAGAAGTTAAAAATAATTTATTAAAAAACGTGTCAATTTTAGTTCATATGTGTCTCCACCTGAATATCATCTGTAGTAAAACATTCAGTCTGAAAATCTATAAAATAGTATGACTAAACTGAAAAAATTATGAAACAAAGTTAATGTTTGCCTTATTTGTTCAGTCTCAAATCTAAATAGGTTTAAAGTAAGGTTAGTCTATGGATTAATTTGTTTCATTGTAATAATAATTATTTTTTTAATAAAATAATAATATTCTTTTACTAATATATATATATATATATATATATATATATATATATATATTATAAATTATTTTTCAAAAAATATTCACTAACTCCAAAAAAGTAAAAGTTAGAGTTTGTTTTAGAGTTTATTTTATTATAAATTAGTGATTTAAATAATTTTTATTTTAAATTATTACATTAATTAATAATAAAAAATAATCTAACTTTTATTTTTAGAGTAAATGAATACGTATCTTATAATTTATTTATCAAATTATTATATTTAAAATTAAAATTAATTATATAAATATAATTTAAAATTTAAAAATATTTTTTTAATGTTTTCATATTAATTTTTTATATAAATATGTTTTAATTTTTTTTAATTTTTAAATAGATCAAAATCATTTGGTCTACTGGTTTATCATAAGATTAGACTAACTCAAACCGTATTATTTATTTTAAAATATAGATACTGGGTTATAATATGATCACGACCTAGACAAAATTTTTTAATGTAAACAAAATGAAATTTTCACTACATTTGTCCCTCCATTCAAGGTTGAGAGTAATCACTTGAAATATATATGCTCACATGTGACAATGTTGATCATAACAATATTGATTATTTTTGTATAATCATAATAAAAGTGACAAATTAATGAAATTCATCGAAAGTTTAGGTTTTAAATGGATCACACCGTATCACCATAAAAAGTTAAAAACTTTTATTTAAAATTAATGTAAATGAAGTTATATAATTTTGCAAATTCACAAATATAACAATGAAAACTATAAATATCTTACTTTTTAATATAAAGTAGAAAATAATTTTTTTTAAAATATCTAAATTATACAAGACCATTGATGCTACAATCAAATTTTAGATTTTTTATTTTCTCTTTTGGAATTATCAACAATTAATGCTTATTATGACTCATCAAATTTTTTTTTTAACAATATAGATAATATAAGTTTTCTCTCCTAATATTATAGTTAATTGATTGTTTTGTTTTGATATCTATAAAAACAAAAGAGTTAAGATAAGAAATTATCATATAAGATAAATAAGTTGTTATTTAAGAAATATATAAAATATTAAAATTTAAAGAAGGAATAATAAAGATAAAATTAAAATTTAAAGATCCTTTCCCAATAATTTAGACTTTATTTTGTTTGTAGTAGAAACATATTTTTTTGTAGATTGTTTAATTTTGGTAATCTTATGACAAAAATATTCTAGTCACAAAAAATGCTGATTAAAACAATTAACAAGGTGTTAAACTAATACATTATATTAACCTTTATTGAATATCACAATAACACAATTATAGAAACGTACTCATTATCCAACACCATCCTCTTTAAAAACTTATAAAAATAGTAAATAAGGGGATTAACAATAATAAACTAAAGAGTGAAAAATAAAAAACTTGTTAATTTAAATTTCCAAAAAAGTGCTTTTAATTTAAACTTATTAAAAATAAAGATTGAGTGCTTTTAATAAAATTAAAAACTTGTTGGAATATAGTCCAGAATAAAAAATTATTTTAAATATAAAAGAGTATAGTAATTAAATTTAAATTTTCAAAAGAGATAAACCCAAAATTAAGTTGAGAATTGCATGGCAACTAAGAAAAAAAGAAAACCAAAAGTAAAAAATTGCAATATATCCAAAAATTAAAATATGTGCATGAGTGAAAATGCATAAATATTTTTTTTAATTGAAATCGAAAATGAAACAAATTGAATATAAAAAATTAAATAAAATTACTAAACAAGTAGATAATAGAAATTAAAGTGAATCTGAGATGAATGAAGCAAATTCAACAATATAAAATTGGAAAATTAAAGAAAAATTATAAATTAAATAAAAGAAGAACAAATAAAAAAGTAACGGTACATCCTTATCGAACCTGCCAAACTAAAAAGATTTGGAATGAAAATGGAAGAGATGAAAACTGAGACGAGACAAAATAATATTTCTTAACTTGAAAGAGAGGTTGTGTGTCTATTACTCTTGTCAATCCTCTATTTATAGAGGAGAAAATAAGTTTGAAATTAATTAAAAAAAATAAAATGTTTTATCAATTGAAAATTTCAACATTAAGTTATTGTTAGCTACGAAAAAATGATGAGATTGATTTGGAAAAATTTGCTTTTTTTTCCTAATTTGCAAGGTCAAAATTGATTTGCATGAAATTTTTAGATTTCTATGACCTTTAATATAGTTCAAGTGGAATTTTGCAACGGTAACACATATGCGTTAATACGCTGCACAAGTAAATTTTGACTTAAAAAAAAAAAAAAAGTTCGACTGTATATAACATTTGTTATGAATTTGGATTTTTATTTTCATCAATTTTTCAATTGATAAAATAAAAAAAATTAACTCTACTAAGTTTGAATTTTTAAATATTGTCAATTTTAATTTTTTTACCTTATTAATTAATTATAAATAATATTATATACATTTTAAATTATTATTATAAAGTTAATATATATATATATATATATATATATATAAACATCTCTTTTAAAAAAAATATTAATCTTTTAAAATGAATAATCGATCTTAATTAGAACTGTCAAATGAAATAGTCTAATTGCATGAGTTAAATAAAAAAATTAATAATTCAATTTTTTAATATTTTAAAACGAATTATAACTTTTTATTTAATCGAATCTTATGTTAAGTGAATAGATTAATAAACTAATTTTTCTATGATTGAAATTAAATAATAATTAATTTAATAAATAAATAAAAATAAATTTTCAAAACATATTAATAATATCTTTCTTTCATTTTTTATATAATATTTTAATATATAAATTATAAAAAAATAATTAGAATTAAAAACTTATTTTTTATCATTATTCTCTTTAAAGTTATTTAATGGGTTAAAATACTAATTTATTTTAATTATTAAATTCAAAAATAAGTAAATGTTAAAGACTGGTTCTTATATATTAAATTAATTTATAATACATAAATAATTTTAATGAAATAATATTATTTTTTTATTTTTATTTTAAAATAATAATTAATTTATATAACGATTTATGGGTTAATGTAACTTTAAGAATAATTACTGTAAATAATATATCTTTTAAAAATGATTGAAATAAAATATTTATCAATACCTATTTATACGCAAAAGGAAAACAGGCACTAGATTATGATAAGAAAAAAAAGGATAACACAAAATAAATAAAGAGAAAAATAAGAAAATAATTGAGAAAAAATAGAAAAGTAATTATATTATGATCAGATAAATTTATTTTCTATTGTATATAAAGAATAAACAAATATAATTAGATAAATAAACTTTTATAAATTTTATTTAAATATATATTTTTAGATATATTATTGTTGGAATTGATTCTTATTCTAAATCCATTTTAGACTCATCTTGTCAAGATTGTATAATTAATTTTTTTTTCAACACTTAACCTATTTCTTAAATATTTTGAATCGTTTTATTCGTCTAGAACTATTTTAATATCGTAGTCTTTATCAATATTTTTGTTTTCATTTACATTAAATTTAATTAGAAATTCAAATTTCTTGGCATGACTAAGATATTCAAATCTATATTAAAAAAGGAGATACTATAGTATGACTCGAACTGTATAATTTTTAAAAAATATTAATGTATTATAAAATTCTCATATCAATATTATTTTTCTCTATACTAAATTCCAAGTACCTACCAACACATTTTATTTAATTCAATTTTTTTTGGCAGCAAATTGAATTCCATTTTGATTAAATTGCATGTGCACTATTGGGTCAAAAAAATAACACTACTTCTGCACACCAACTTTCCTAAAATCCTAATCCAGAAGCCATTTTCCTTGGTAGGTAAAGTTCCAAGACATTCACCAACTTTTTCGCTCAATTATTTTGGTATAAGCAATTTCAGTATTCGATATGTGTTAGTTGGCAACCAAAAACCCTTTATGTGACTCAATCCAACAACCACTCACATTGCCATTTGCCACCAACCCCCGTACCTGGTTCTCACAAAACCCCACGTTACACACATTATCAACAAAAAACAAAACCAACCTCATTTCATAGAGACAGACCTTCGCATAACACGATCCAGGAACAGAGTGCAGACCACAGGGTTTACAACTTTAAGGAAAATTTAAATGGCCCAGGTGAGCAGAGTGCACAATCTTGCTCAAAGCACTCAAATTATTGGTCATTCTTCTAATCCCAACAAACCCAAATCTGTGAATTCGGTTTCGTTGAGGCCCAGGCTTTTGGGGGCCTCAAAATCTCGAACCTTGATGCATAAAAATGGAAGCTTTACGGGAAATTGCAATGTGGGTATGAGAAATTCCGGGGTGTTCAAGGTTTCTGCCTCTGTCACCGCCACAGAGAAGCCGTCGACGGCGCCGGAGATCGTGTTGGAACCCATCAAAGAAATCTCGGGTACCATCACATTGCCGGGGTCTAAGTCTCTGTCCAATCGAATTCTGCTTCTTGCTGCTCTCTCTGAGGTGAAGTTTTGTCATTTATTTGTTTACTTTTTTTGGTCAAGTAATTAGGAGCTG